GAATCCTCAGACTGGATCTCGGTCTAATATTTTTCGACCAGTATTACCAAAAAAGAGTTTCATTGAAATCGGTTACGCCATGTTTATAACCTTCCCTTGTAAGACAATAAATCTAACGAAAATATAACTAGTATATCAACGATATAAATTGAAATATAAATTTACTATTTTATGCGAGGGATGCGGAGAGACCGAGCGAGCTTATGCGTGTGTAATACACGCGTTATTCGAGAACCTAAAGAATAACATAATAAAATCAATTACTTGTTCAAGTCTAGGTGATTTTAATGCTAGCATTAATTATTCGCCCACTCCCGTGGCTCGGTAAAAATTCCATATGGCCGAAAAGGCAAGAAAGGGGATGATTATAAAAGGAAAATTGATTTTCAAGCTCATCACAAATTTTATAAATTCCATGCATTTTAGGTGCCATGATCTAGAATATAATTTTTCGTTGAGATAATTATTATTGAAGAATTTATTATATAAAGTAAATAAATGATAATTTATAGTATAATAATACTAATTGGTTTTGGAAGCAGGGGGTGAACTTTATTAAATGGATGGAACTTTATAAAAATCTCTGTAGGAAATGGCTCAAGTCTATTCTCTATTTGACCAATTTTAGTGGATGTACCTCAAGGATCAATCTTTGTCTCATTACTGTACATCACATATTCAGATGAGATTCCTTTAAGTGGCCACAACTTATTGGCTCTTTCGCAAGGAATCGTTATTAAAAATACAAGTTGCAAATTTCGGATGGTTCAAATAAATTATCAAAAGTCCCAACATATCAAGTTTAATTTAAGGCTAGAAACGTATCTTCCTGTATCGCAAAACCGACATACATATAAAATATTAAATTTTTCAGTTTAAAATTACCCAAGCTTGATGAATAAAATCTTACACTCTAACAAATGCTTGTTGACAGGAATAAATACGGACGTATTACGATGTATAAAATTAAAAGGAAATTGCAACCAGCTAAAAAAAAATAAATAACCACACTCTTATACCGGAAGATACCATAAGACGTCTGAAAAGGTTCTGGATGAGTGTCCTACTTCCGTAATTATGTAAATACGATTAAGTTAAATCCGCGGAAGGAGTACCGTTAGGTAATTATTTTCCTAATGTTTATAAAACCACTTTTGTTTTATTTTTTCAACTGTTGATAATTAATAACTGTAATTAACAGGTTTAGATTGAAGAATAAATACTTGTACTAAATGACTTAGTTAGAGTGTTTTGAAATTACTGCCATAAAGAATCTCAACACTAATTTGTTATAGCTCAAGAGTTTGGCTTAGAGACAAACATTGTAAAAGGCAGATATAATACCCAATATAAACAACAACGGCATTATATAACTATAAAAAGATTGAGTTATATTAATAAAAACAATGCAATATGATGGATATTGTAATGGCGCAATTGCAGTGATTTGAGATTAGTGCCTTAAAATATTTTAATATGAGCAAATTGGAGTGCTATCTTTATTAGTAGCAGTTTAGCAGGTAGTTTCTCTTTATGTTGTACATGTAATGTTACTTATTTCATATTTAGTTGTTGTATTTAGTTGTAAATTGCAATAATAAAATATATGTATATATATATACAGACAAAAACGGTGCAAATTATTACACAATGATTTATTATCTCTAAACAATTTAACATAAAAATAAAAATTATTTCCTATGTATCATAAAGGGAAAATAAATAAAAGATTCCTAATATTGACCTAAATATATTTTTTCTCATCATCGATAATTTTCTAAAAACAAAATACAACATTGCTTCAGTTGATGTAAAACTTTCAAAAACTAGAACAATAGATATATGCTTTACTGTGGAACATATGAAAAATATTTAGAACACCACATTTTTGTACCGATTTCAACATTTTTTTTTATTTTTAGGTAATTTCGTAAACTTTTAAAAAAACATTAAAAAAAAGTGCATACTTCTTGAATTATAAGAAAATATAATTTTACCACCCCGCATATCTTTTTTTCCAGCTTCTTTTGGTTGAGGTACGTTATATAGATATGTTTAAAGGGAATCGAGGAGAAGGCTTTAGCAGTTTCATTGAAATTGATACATTCGTACAGTCTATACCAAGTTGGCATAGACTGTAGCGACTAATCGATAGTTGGTATTTCTAACACTGCTTTTTCGGCGGCCATATTGAAAGGAAAGGGCAGATAGTAGTGCCAAGGTAGGAGGAATATCCTCGGGTAGGTAACCTCTGATTTTGATTCCAAATTTGAAAAAAAAAAAAGAACAGTCCAGTAATCTCGGTGAAAAGCCGCGGATGACGTACGGACAGTTTTTTTTAAATTCGATAATGCTCGTGTTTAAGTTGTTATTTCTCACTAATAGTACAAAGTCAGTACAAATGACATTTATATTATAGCTAGATCACAGAGGGACTAAGAAAGAATCTTCTTAGTTATAGGGGCAGCAGGACAGGCAATGGGTCTAAGTATTAACCAAGCTAAGACCAAATATATGACTGTTAACTAACCAAGTCCACCACCACCTACAGTAAGATTTGGAGGATACCCATTTGAAAGTGTAAATAATTTCGGGTATCTAGGGTACTTAGTTTTGCAGAAAATATTTGGCTGAAAGTACAGAGAAAAATTACGTCAGCTAATAAGTGTTATTTTATCCTGGCTAAAATATTAAGAAGTCATTTGCTGGCTAGATCCACTAAGATCGTTCTGTACAAATCTCTTATTAGACCTGTACTGACATATGGCTCAGAAACATGACCATTATCACGAACAGATGTCATCAGGTTGCAGGTTGCGAGAGACAAATCCTGAGAAGGATGTTTGGCCCTGTAAAAGTTGGCAATCAGTATAGGCTAAGGCATAATGTAGGGTTGTATTAAATTTACTGGCAACCGGATGTGGTGCAATTCATACAGCTCTCTAGGCTAAGATGAGATAGGCACTTCGCAAGGATGGATGGGACCCACCAATCAGGCAGCTACTGTTCGAGTATGGGATGGCAGAAGAAACAGAGGACGGCAACGACTGAGATGGCCGCATGAGGTCGAAGCCGATGCAGAGAAGCTTCTGGGCACTAGAGCTTGGTAGACTCTTACACAAGACAAAGAGGAATAGAGGCGACGTATTGATACGGCGAAGACCCGTATCGGGTTGTAGTGCCTGTGATGGTGATTATTTATTCTAAATAGAGAGCGAATATGCTCTATGAACACTATTATAAATGTCCTTAATTAATTATTAAAAATTATGAACCAAAATATTATAATGGATAGACTTAACTTGACTGGAAATATGTCTATCACCCTCCATCTTACCATTTCTGGCATATGAGGGGGAGTGTTTCTTAAAATTGTTCTAGTACAAAATCATTTCTAACCAGATTGGGAAGGTCGAGATTCAATCCCAGGGTCCGTCACGAAATACATTTCAACTAGCCCAGCCCGGATTCGAATCTGCGCACAGTGATTGGAAAAGGTATAAAAATCCTAGGAAACTTTTAATGTGGGCAATATATCTGAAAACTAGAATGTTTTATAGCATGTCAGCTCTTCTGAACTAATATGGACTAAAATATTTTTGCTAAGAACAACCGATATCATCACTGTTAACTTTTTGTCAATAAACAATTTATATTTTATATTTGATAAGTTTTTAAAATGAAAATGTATTGTAAAAGATTATTTACCCAATAATAAATTTCTATTGTCAATGTTACCAACAATAGGACATGAATACACTCGAAAAAAATATGATATACGAAGAAGAAATCAGCCTTCAATAGACGAACAAATACATAGTAGAAATCAATATCCAAGTATCAATTTCGACTCACAAAATTTATTTGAATTTATCTTGGATGTGTTTCCTTCGCATTTTATTTCAGTTGATTTGTTTCTATACTTTTACTCCAGTCTTCTATGACGGAAAAGGTTGAATTATGTTACTTATAAATTCTCCCAATGTCCCTGTTGTGGTGTTCCGGAAACTGCTGAGCATATCGTCAAGACATGTAAAATTGTTGAAGCAATATTGGCCGGATTACTGAGGAAAACCGGACTCTACATTATTACGGAGGACGATTTCCCTCAGCTGGTGAGTAACGAGAACTACGCGTACTGCGAAGAAATCGTGTACGGGTGAAAGGAATTAGTGAAATGAACACTTTAACCTCCTCTAACGAAGACCGAAGAACCAGAAGATAAGTTGTAAAAGTATCACGCTTCTTCTACCAACAATGTGTATTGTCGAGAGGCAAGGAAAGAAGAAAATAAAATAAAATAAAAATAGTTAACATTTATTTATGTAAACGTAGGATTTTTATATTTCTCGCCTTGTCTACAGCTTTCATGAATGATATTGCCGAATAATTACAAAACCAAAAGTTACCACAGCAGATTTTCGTATTCGTGATTATTACATAGTTTGGAGAGCATTTTGATTACACCTTGAGGGGTCGTTGGCGCATTGTACTTATCCTATGAAAATAAGAAATCTCAGAATTTATTTAAAAAATAACTTATTTCATGCACGTAAACAAATTAAGCAACAAAAATTTATTAAACTCAACAACAACACAAAATATATATTTAACGATAAAATACAAGTCGCGCAAATTTATTTCGGTAGAAATAGGTTTTTTGTTGATACTTTATTGAGGATCTTGGAAAATAGTATTTATATTCATACCTAAACTGTTTCATATATACTTTATTGACAATAGATGAATTAATATTTCTTCCTAAAAATGTCTCTACCGAATAAATATTTTTTAAAAATATAAATGTTTGTTAAGAAATTTTGGTAATAACAAATAATTGATAAAAAAAAACATCCAAAGAAATCCTGTTTGTCGGATTTCAAATCGCTCATCCAAATATCCGTTTTTTTCTGATAGTGATTAAATCAATGACAAATCATTCAGATAATACTTGAAGGATTATAATCGATTCATCTAGACCACATATCTGTAGGCTTAATGTATTTTTATCACCTGATGGTAAAATGTATATTACATAGATTTATTCTTGCTAAATCCAGTCGATTTGTTGAATAAAGTCAGGATCAATGTCTTCAAGAGGTAACAAAATAACGATCGCCTTTTTGCTGATTGTGGTACTAGCGGTCTCGTTTTATGAAGCCGAGGGGAATACCAAGACTCCATCCAACCTAGGTCTAGATTTGTTTGGTAAGTTACTTAAAAGTGTGATGATATGTGTTCAGAGTTTTACTGGCATTTTAGAATAAGTGAATTAGTGTAAAATTGTGTTCAAGGTTTCGCTACTGGGGTTCCAATGTCAAAATGAAAGACTTTGATCAAGCGACTAAAAATACTATACATACATTTTAGCCCAAATCAAAATTGATCCAAATAAGAGATAAACTAAATACATACACTCACCTGCTCAAATCCATTTTCATCGGACATTTGTCTTACAGATTTACAGTCCGACAAAAAATACTCACTTCCAAAACTAAAATATTTGAAATCTAAAATTTTACGACTAATAACAGCAGCTCTCTGGTACGTAAATAACAAAACTTTACATACGAAAACCAACTATCGGCCATCACTTACGTACTCTTTTCTTCCTGTTCATCACAACAATTATAAAGAGCATGACCACGGTTAACATGCTCATTAGAAGACTAATAAAAAGGAAGATGTGATTTATTTATTTATTTGAGGATTTGAAAGTGCGACTGATTTAAAGATGTAAACAGACCAAGGAAGAGGTGCTGCTGGATACTATCCTTCATCATGCCATTTTGTAACGTAACAACAAATCTGCTAATTGTCACTATCAGGTAAGCTAACTGAATATTATGACAGGTAAGGATGGAGATTTGAAGATAAACAAATAATAATAAAAGATTTCACTTAAATTATTTGGTTTTAGACCCGGTGATTACCAACATATATTATTTTGAAACGTATCGTTATGTAGATATCGACATTATTCGGGTAGAAACTTTATCGAGATCTATATAATAATTTATAAAAAGCAAATTGAAATGCTGGTGAAATTTTATGAAACCAGAATATCAAAAATATGCAATATTCCAAAAAATAATAAGAAACATTCCGTGTCATTTAAAACCGAAAAATATTTTTAAAATCTTCATTTCATTTTTCCTTGAAATTTGCTGAAAGTGTGCTTTTAATATAGACTTGAATGAATGTGATATTTGTGCTTACGCTGATGACCTTATGATAGCTCCACGAAGTGAAAAGTCGCTTAAAGATGCATTTGAGATTGTGTACGAAAATTGCATCAAAGTAGGACTTCTGGTCAATGAAAACAAAACTAAATACCTAAAACTGCCCTCGGCAGCAAGTAGAAGATCCTGCATTTAAATTACAATAAAGAATTTTTAGTTCGAAAATGTACCCACATTCGTGTATCTTGGTTCTGCCTTAAATAATGAAAATGTAATAAGCAGAGAAATGGACAATAATGGCTGGTAATAGAGCTTACTATGCAAACCTAAAACTTCTCAAGTCTCCATTGTTGTCAAAAGCCACAATAAAGCTGTATAAAACGCTTATTAGACCGTGAACTAAAAGTATTCGAAAGGAAAATTATATGAAGGATTTACGGTGTTATACATAGTTAATGGTAAGTGGAAAATCAAAAGTAATAATGAAATCGAGGCTATACTTGAGAATCAAAACATTACTAACTATATCAAGGCAAGTAGGCTTAGATGGGGAGGACATGTAGCCAGAATGGAGAATGAACGGGTGCAGAGAAAAATATTATAGAATATTATTATTATAGAAGTTATTATATTATATTATAGAAAAAATATTATAGAAAAGCACACTTCAGTGGGCAGAGGAAAAGAGGAAGACCGAGAAGCAGATGGAAGGATGAAGTGGAGAGAGATGCGAAGAAGCTAGGAGTTCGCAATTGGAAGAGAGTAGCTCAGGACAGAGAGAGAAGTGGAGAAAAATAACTCAGGAGGCCAAGGGTCATGTAGCGTCGGGGAGTTAGGATGTAATATTTAACTAAATGCATCGACTCGTTTTTACTTTCACTTATTTAAGAGAATTACATTGCAAGATAAAGTATTGTGATCGTAAAAAATATCGAATCCTAAAATACGGTCATTAAGGTTCTATGAATTCTTATAATCAAGTCCTACAAAATTATCTGTGTGTTTATTTAATTATTGTGCGGATGATTTGTATCTCAAATATTTCAATACTTCTATACTACTAGGTCTTGCAAACGTATATCATAGTATTGTTTGCCTTATTCTTTATCGAGATTTCAATATGTTTGATTGTCTATTTCGAAGGTATTTAAATCCTGAAGCTTTTTGCGGTTATTATAAGATCGTCTTTTTCTGACGGTTGGTCATTCATTAAGTCTTTTTTTTTTTTTTTTTTTGAGCCGTATTATTTGAACTTGTCTGTACTCGGGAACGATTTTCCATCTACGTAGATTCTATTATATCCTATTTTCGGCTTACTATCAAATATTTTGTTTTATCTCCATTTACCTTTTGGTCGATTGTTAGAATTGATAATGAAGGACAGCTTTGCTATCTGCATATTCAATAATTTTATGACTTAATACGATATGCATTCCTCCATTCCCCCATCTCGTCATATTGATATAGAGTTCTCCAGTGCTAAGTTGTACGGCATCGACGATGGTCCATCTCCCTGCTATAAGTTTTGACTACAGCTGTGTGGTGTACGATGGCCTCTCGGTGGAACTCCGTGATAGACTCAAAAGACTTATGAATAGCTTCGTAAGATTTGTAATAGGGACCCCGAGACGCTCCCGTCTCTCCCACAACTACACTGAGTTAGGGAGGCTCTTCCCCTCCTTAAGAAGACAATATTTCCTAGGCACTTTCCTTTATCAAATCATTACCGATCATCGTCCTTCTTATGCCTACAACCTTCTCAAAGTCCTCAATCCATTCTCTCACTACAAGATCCCGACCCTGTGACCTATACATCCCTTCTCATAGATCTGCCTCATTCCAAAATTCCTTTATAGCCCGCTCTGTCAACTTTTGGAATTCCCTCCCGATCAAAATTCGACATGCTCCTTCCCTATACACATTCAAAAACCTCCTATTCCAATTCCTGTTCCAAAAATAGTCAGATACCAGCTAACTATTAATATTATTTATGTATTGTGTAGCAATCATATAATCATAATACTTGGTAAGAGATAGTACGTGCATTTCCTACTATCGACGTAGGAATTTCAATACATACATTTTTTTTTTTTATTCAATTATAATTAACTGTTTATTTTTATATATATATATTCAAGTAAAGTTTTTTTTTTTTTTTTTTATGAAATGAACTCATTGTATCTCTTTTTCGTTCTTCATTTCTCAAAGTATATGTTTATGTTGTTCAACCCTTATATATAGTTTTGTTCATAGTTCAAGTGATTTGTTCATAGTTTTAATTGTTTTGTTCATAATTTTAAATCCTCTGTACATAGTTTTATCTGTATTGTATATAGCTTGTGCACCTAAGGTTTTCTTTACTTTCTATTTTATTTTATCAATTTTATTTATTGTTTTAAACATTTAGGCCAGTAATATTCTATTATTTTGTACATTATTGTTATTCTGAAGGGACTTAGTCCCAGAATAAAGTTTTTTTTCTACCTATCTATCTAAGTTCGAGGTCAAAGGGTTCATATACTTCTACCTTGTTTCTTCTTTCATATCATTAATTTAAGTCGAGTTTATCATTAAGTCGAGGTTATCGTTAAGTCGAGATGAAGTGAACTCTATCCAGTTTTCAAACGGCAACATTTGCTAGGTATATTCCTTTTTCGAACCTTTACAACAACAACACCATCTTACCATCTTAAGTTGTTAACTTCTTATTCCTCTGCCCATTCGTTTAATATAAATCCAGCCCACGAAACTGTTTATTCTTTCTCATAAAACTGTTCTCTTCTTATATTGCTCATTAGTATTATTACGTTACGTAATTATTTCTTAATTTTCTTCTAATGCTAGACAAATGTCATCTTTTTGTTCATTACAATTGTTCTCAAGGAACTAACTTTTCTAAAATAAAATTTACATCTCTTTCTTTCTTTTTTTGTATTGGAACTCTACATTTATGATCGACTGTACACCCCACCAATCTCATTAACTTTCTCTGTACTCCCAGTTTTTTCATGACCTTTCTAAGCCAGTTTCTTTCCACGTGATCATACACAACTTAGTGTTCACTAGTAATTGGTGCACAAATCTTTTTCGAGCACTTGGTTTAAGACGAAGATCTAATTTAGTATGCTCTTTTGAATCCAAGTTGGTGTTTGTCTGTTATATTATCGGAATGCCAATAAATTCAGTTTATAATGATAGAATATAATGATATTTTATAATATATCTTTTTATCAAAAATTGTGGATAACAAAACTAATTTTGTTACTATTAATGTTCTAGCTATTAATATTATTAATACTCTAGCAGTTTATAGATAACCCATTACGAACTGATTTTCGTAATTTTTAATTTTCCTTAATTGGAGTGACGTAGAAAGAATATATTTCTGAATAGCTACATATTGTTTTACGCTAACAATTGAACTGATAACGCGCATTTTACAAGTTAGATCGGAATTAAAACGGAACCTGCGAGATGATGTCATAAAACGGTTTATTGTATTAAGATCCAATCCTTACAATCCAAAATCTTTCGTAAAATCCTCAACGCTCCTTACTTTGTCACAAACAAAATAATCCATAAAGACCTTAATGTTCCATATGTTTCCGATTTGGCCCAATACAGATACCTGTCCTTCTATAACAAACTGCAGAACTATCCGAACCCTCTTGTTTCAAACATTGCTTCCTCCTCTATCCCTGATAACCCTCCGAGGCGTCAGAAAAGAAGATGGCCTCGGGATCTTCTAATATAGAACTTTAATTTGAGTTCTACCAATGGGTAGTTTCTCTTCATATTTTACATGTCATGTTACCAATGTCACATTTACCTGTTGTATTTTTAATGTAATACAGTTGTAAATTTCATTAAAATTGAAAAAAAAAATGTATTAAGATCCGTAAGCACTATATATCTTCATTTGTTTTTGTTTTTTTTTACGATTTTTTAAATTTTTATTATGATAAGAAAATATTATAATCTTTTTGTATTTAATGTATTTAATTTGCACTGAAAAATCATGTGACAGCATTTCAGGCCCTTTCGAAAGTGGCTACTTGACTTAATTATAAATAATGTCAACATAAAATTTTAACATTCATAGCATACATTTGTGGTAGTTATTTGTTTCTATTTTTATAAACAAAATGAGAAAAGACCAGACATAATTTTTTTTTATATATTCAATCGAGTCTTTTATCAATTTTATAAGACCGTGAATTCCAGAATCTTTATATTTTTTTTTTTTGGTGACAATTTTACTTTTGTGCAATTATCTATAGTTAATTATATAAAAAAAAAAATGGTTCAACTGATTTCAAGCTTAGCATAATTCGTAAACCAACATTGGTTAAATAAGATGTATAGTTACGATGCAATTAACTGAAAGAAAATTGAAGATTTGTTGAATAGTTTAATATAATAGCTTCTAATTAGATATTATTGATCTTTTTATAAATTTGGCTATAGAGGAAGTCATTAAAACTATTGAATAAAAATAGGATATAATAAAAGAACATATAAAATTAGTTTGACGAAGGAATAAAATTATGCATCACGAATAAATTATTTTAAATTTAATGAAAGTTATTTTAAAATTTTGTATGGCCTGCCAATGGGTAAACGACTCTCAGTTGTACACATTGGATACTATTTCAACAATATTATAAGTGAACAATTAGTGAAGGTAGTTGAAAAACTAGTATTAATAATAAATTACGTTGATCATTTATTAGCAGTAACTAACAACAATCTGTATAATGATCGGCAGTGTAATGTCTGGATGTAAATATTAATAATAATAAGTAATGTAATAACAAAATAATTTACAGCGAAATAAGAATATATATATATATATATATATATATATATATATATATATATATATATTTTTTTTTTTTTTTTTTTTATTACTGAAATTTACAACTTTATCAAATGACCGATACAACAAGTAAATATGAAATAAGTAACATGACATGTACAACATGAAGAGAAACTACCCATTGGTAGCATTGCAATTATATTTCTATATTAGAAGATCCAGAGGCCATCTTCTTTTCAGACGCCTCGGAGGGCTATCAGGAATAGAAGAGGAAGCAAGATTGGAGACAAAGGATTCGGATGGTTCAGAACTTTATTATGGAAGGATAGGTATCTGGATTGAGCTAGATCGGAAACATATAGTAGTTAAGGTAGTTATGGATAATTTTATTTGTGACCAAGTAGGGAGCATTAAGGATTTTACGAAGGATTTTGGATTGTAAGGATTGGGTACGAGGGGAGTTTGATCCCGAAAGTCCAAGTAGGCCTTATTATAGTAATATATATGAGTCTTTTGTAAATAGTTGGAAGTTTAGAACGTTTGTCTAGTAAGTGCTGCAGTAGTCGAAAACGTCGGGCGATTCCTAGTGGTTTCAGTCTGGTATGGGAATAACAAAATAATATAAATCGAAATAAGAACAAAATAAAATATCGTAATGAGGGAAGAGAAAAAACTCTATAAATAAATAAATAAATAAAATACAATGTTATTAAAAGATTATTAAAAAATAAAATAAACATCAACATAATATGTTAGAGAAACAAGTAGAGACATGTTTTTTTGTTCTATAGGCATTACAGACCATGTTGATCTTTTGCCGCCTTAACAAGCCTGCTCCATCTCTGCCTTTCTTGGGCTATTTATTTCCAGTTATCTGTACGCAGCACTATTGCATATTTGTTGATTCGATCTATCCATCTGGTTTTTAACCGTCCATGTGATCTAGTATTTAGGCATTCATTCTTGTGAAGAAACTTTCCGATGGATTCTTCTGATTTACATGTCCAACCCATCTTAACCTCCTTTCCTCCATATCATAATATATTGATTGATCAGTTTCTGTAAGCAGTAGTTTATTAGTTCTTCTCCTCCATGCATTAGTAATCTGATAACAGATCGCTCCGGTTATCGTGCAGAGGATGTTTATCACAAATCATTCAATACTTCTTTCAAGTTTTGAAGTCTCTATTCGTGATAGGATTTAAGTACCTTTGAAAGAGAGAAGAAATGTCTATATTTGAGGCAAATAGAGACATTATGGCCAAAACAGAATAGTACTGACATAATTTTTAATTGATAATTAATAAAAGGCTAAAAGCTAAAAGGAGGAACATTTTTCAAGCTTTAAAACAAATTTCTGAAAATTAGAGGGGTAATATATATTTGTAATATATTGCCAAAAAGCATTTTTGAAAAGTGCATATCTAACATACAAAGTCGCAGAAGGTAATGGAGAGTGATAAAAAATATGAATTATAATTTCCGAAAACTAATATTATATTATTTAACGGAGGATGAATATCTTTATGAAAACTAAATGAAATTTCTAAACTAAATGGAAACTTTTACAATTATTTTAAACTGATATTTTATTATAAACTGAAAATCTATGATCGTTCTGTTATATGAATGATATCTGATCGCCTTTTAGGCTATATAAAGTTTTTCCGAACTAGGGGTGAGGATGGGAGATTAACGACAGAGTTAAAAGCCCCCCCGGCACACGAATTCATAATTGTTTGATCATATTAATTTCGTAGTATATTAGGTGATTGCTGCAAGTGGGCGGGTTGGCCGAATGGGCTAACGCGTGTGCACTGCACCGCCGTTGCCCGGCAACCAGTAATATGAATTAATGATATAAAAATAGACACGAGTTCGCGTCCCGGTGCCGAGAGAGTCGTTTAAATCCCCGCTCACACTCCCTGGCCCGGGAAAATCCAGTATAGCCTTAACGGTGAGGAAGGGAAGGACAAAAAAAAAAAAAAAAAAAAAATAGGTGATTGCTATTGAGTATGAAAAAATCCGCACTTCGGTTTCTTTTTAGATGTCTTACAGAATAGAAAACTGGATGTAGCCACCTCCAAATGTGGTAGGTTTAGACTTGGAGAGGGGAGGTGGAAGAAATATATATTTGTAATATATTGCCAAAAAGCATTTTTGAAAAGTGTATATCTAACATACAAAGTCGCAGAAGGTAATGGAGAGTGATAAAAAAATATGAATTATAATTTCCGAAAACTAATATTATATTATTTAACGGAGTATAAATATCTCTATGAAAACTAAATTAAATTTCTAAACTAAATGGAAACTTTTCCAATTATTTTAAACTGATATTTTATCATAAACTAAAAATCTATGATCGTTCTGTTATATAAATGATATCTGATCGCCTTTTAGGCTATCAATTTTTGTTATTTCATATTTTTTGATATTAATAAACCATAGTGAGTAAATCGAGGGCGGAGTTTTATATGGCGGTTCTTCTAAATATATTTCCTCAATTATTTTTCTTTTTTTGTATGATAAATCGTAATGGTTCTCATGAGGAATGCAATTCAAAAATTTTATAATCGCCCAACGTGGCCAAAAAATAATTTCTATTCAAAGTTGAGTGGTAAGTGAAAGTTGTGTGTTGCACTAACCAGATTTTTAGTTTTAGCTCAGTTAACAATGCAATTCAAGAATTTTATAATAGTCCAACGTGGCCAGAAAATAATTTTTATTCAAAGTTGAGCGGTAAGTGAAAGTTGTGTGTTGCGCGCACCAGATTTTTTTTTGTTTCAGATAATGTATATGTTATATAATGGTAATTGTTTAATGTGGTATATTGGTGGTATTGTATATGAACAGTGTTATGGAAACAAAAAATGATATGTTCATAATATAATGGAATATTATAATGTATGAGCTAGGTCCATTTGGATTGAACAGTATGCTGTGTATAATGCAGCATGTAGTAGAGCAGCATTACTTCCAATAAAGTATTTCTCTCTATAATATTCAGGTATCAAGAGCAATCATTTAACCCTTGCTCGTAAGGACAATTTTACAATCCGGAGATGTACGCCAACCTTCTGCTGCCCCGGAAGACTACGCTGTTGTAATAGCTACTTCTGCTGTGCAATAGGGGGAAGGTAATACAATATCCAATACTACTCGAATATCCAAATAGTTTTTCTTTCTTAGAAAATAATTTTAAAATTATTATATTGTTCACAGTAGGATACTTCAGAATGCTCAACCGTGCTAATCAACGATGAGTTGAACTGCAATTCGCCACGATAAATTGACAGGTTAAAAGTTCTATGGATTTATTTGAAATAAAATATTTTGAAATAATAAAAAAAAATAATACTCAAAAATATGCTTTCTTAATCCATTTTTTATTTCATTTTTGACTGTGAGGTTGTAATGTTATTGTATGTAAATACGTAAGTGCAAATCGTAAAAAAAAAAAAAATATAACTGTATAAAATATTTTGATTTAATTAATTTGTAAATAATATAAATAATAAATAAATTTGTTTAATTACATTTAAAAGGACTTTAGGAATCACTTAAACACCATTTTATATACCTAGTTAGTTTCTTTCTTTTTTCCTAAAGTAATTATCATTATTTTTATTTCATTAATTAACCAAAATCCTCCCAATCTTATCGTTCTATCAGTTTCCTTCTCCATTAAACTAATCGGTTACATTAAAGTTGGCAGATGTGCCACTGCGCAGTGGAGTAAAAGACGATAACAAAAAATTACAATTTATTGTTCTATAGTTTGACAGATTTATTCTCAATAGTGTGACAGAGGAGTAATGGAGCCTGCAGCAATACCAAGGGAACCGAGGCGTCCTCCGATATTTGTAAAAAATATCGAACATTTCCAGCTATTGTGTCCAGCTAACAATATTAAACAAAATCTGCTTCGGCAGTTATTCTTGTCTTAGGAGGACCAAAGATACAAAAATAACACCCGATACTGCTGAAACCTACCGAAAAATAGTGAAGTACCTTTCAGAAATGAATGCAAATTTTCATACGTGCCAGCTGAGGAAGGAGAGGTCCTTTACGAGTGGTAATAAGAAATTTGCACTCCTCAACCCCAAGTGAAGTGATGAAAGAAGAACTGACGACGCTTGGTTTCAAAGTACGTCAGGTAACCAACGTCCTGGATGAGAATAGGGAACAGCCGGGAGTAAACAATAAAGTTCCACTACCTTTTTTTTCGTGGACCGGGAGTCATCACCTGATATTTAGCAGATATACGAAATCAAGAAACCGTACAAAACTATCGAGAAGATAGAGAGGCCCAATAGGGAAATCGTGCAGTGACACAATAATTTTATATTGGATATAAGAATTCCATATTTAGTTGTATATAAGAACATGTTTCGCTTATATCTCTTATTCGTCGAATGCATCAGGGAGAATGATACCTATTGATGAGAGTGTTTTTGCTTGGCCATAATCGTAATAATTATATAGTAAATATGAAAAACAAACTATTAAAACATGCATTTTTAATTATATAAAAAGTCTTTTGTTCACATTTTTTTTTATTTATCCATGATATTTACAACTGTATTAAAAAATTAAATCCGTTAACTAAATTTGATAACAGAAAATAATAACATGAAATGACTTGTTGAGAAATTACCCACTGGTAGCACTCTAAAAACGAAATGTATTTACAATAAGAGATCTCGAGGCCATCTTCTTTTCAGACGCCTCGGAGGGTTATCAGGAATAGAAGAGGAAGCAAGGTTAGAGACGAGAGGATTCGGATGGTTCTGAAGTTTATTATGGAAGGATTGGTATTTGGATTGGGCCAAATCGGAAACATAAGGAACATTAAGGTCATTATGGATTATTTTATTGGTGACAAAGTAAGGAGCATTGAGGATTTTCCGAAAGATTTTGGATTGTAAGGATTGGATACGAGAGGAATTCGATGGCTTAGTGTAGCCCCAAAGCTCAACTCCGTAAGTCCAAATAGGTCTTATTGTAGTCATGTATATAAGTCTTTTGTAATTAACTGGAAGCTTGTCTAGTAAGTATTGGAGTAGTCGGAAACGTCGAGCGGTTTCTTGTCGTTTCAGTCTGGTATGAGAATTCCAAGTTAGACGTTTGTCCAAGTGAAGTCCAAGGTATCGGATTTGTTGACTGCATAGATAACAGGGATAAGTGGGGTATTATTAAAGGATACTGTGGGACATGAGATCATAGGTTTACGTCGAAGGGTAACGGTGATTTGATGGGATTTATTAGAATTTATTTTAATTCTTTAAGAGTTTGGGATGCAATGGTTGGGTCATTATTAACGGATAGGACACATGTATCATCAGCATAAGTGGTAATAACAGTGTTAGGATGGGTTGGGATGTCAGCTGTATAAACTGTGTAAAGGATAGGACCAAGGATACAACCTTGAGGAACACCAGCGGACTGGGAAAAGAGGGATGAATAAGCATCATTGTGATTGACTTTTGAGTATCTATCAGTTAGAAAGGAACGTATAATGAGGAAGTATGTAGGATGTAGGAATTTACGGAGTTTGTAAAGTAGTCCTGGGTGCCAGACTCGATCAAAAGCCTGTTCTACATCGAGAAAGACTCCTGTGCAGTACATTCCGCGCTCTAATGCAGAGGAGACAACATCCACCACACGATGGCATTGCTGGATAGTGGAATGGGATCTGCGGAATCCAAACTGGTGATCTGGGATTATGTGATTAGAATCTAGGATTGGGTACAGGCGTTTTAGGTTGAGTTTTTCCAGGACTTTGCCCATGATGGGTAAAAGAGAGATAGGACAGTAAGAGGATGGGTATTCTGGTGGTTTTTTGGGTTTATTTATCATTTTTATAATGGATAGTTTCCAAGGATCGGGAAAATATGTGGATCGGAGTACAGCATTATATATATAAGTAAGGAATAGAATGGCTTTCCGAGGAAGTAGTTTTAGGATCTGAGATGTAATTAGGTCGTGTCCAGGAGCTTTGCGGGAAGGTAACCTGTGAATGATGTTGGATATTTCTGAAGGATGAAAGGCTTTAGGTGGAAGAGACATTTGGAGTGGTATATCCAGTTCTGCTTCAATACATTCAAGGTGATTTGGATTATTAATATCGGGATGTGGATTAAATTTGTTCACATTATATATTTATTTCTCAATATTTTAATGTTTTTGCCTTTTTCAGTATTAAATCACTTATCACTGCATTTTATAGTTTTTAAACGAATCTGAGGTATTTAGATGGTTATAGATTGATAACTATCAATACGACATTTACAAATATTATTTATCAGTATTACCATCTGTTCAGGCCGTCAATTTTATTTTTAATTTTACACAAAATTATATATAGTTAATTATGATTATTAGGTATTTGGTTTAATTCAAGTTAAATTTACACAAAAAAATATGGATGATTCTCATTTTAGGGGCAAGTTTTAGTCTATTGCAACTTTTACGTGACTTTAAAAACGCTTGCCTATAAAAACTCAACTTTAAATTTTCTTTTGAGAACACAAATGGATGACTAATGAACGATTTGAGCTATAAAAGATGAATGAATAAAAGAGAGAGAGAGAGAAAAAAAAGATACAGCAAAGAAAAAAAGTGTAAAGACTTTTCTAATTTATCAGTCGGTTTAATGATGCAACTGCTACAGCCTCAAATATATTGTGAATGGAATGGCTTAGTGAAAGGGGAAAGAAATAAAAACAGTTTTATCTTTCTGAGAAGTTTATATCGGCCAGAGGATGTAATGAAAAGGTCTTGAAAGGGTATGAAAAACTGCATAGATACTTATAAAAGATATATACGAGTAAAAGTCTCACTGAAAAGATTTTTATACCCAATAAACGTATAACAGTTCTGCAAATTGGAGCAGCAGTCAACTATTTTTACAAGTTATTTATGTTTCAAATAAAATTTGAACAACTTTATTGGCATTCGTAAATCACAAGTGGAGTTATCGAAGTTTTGAACCAAAATAAGCATTGAAGAGTTCATAGACAATTTTATAATTATCAATGCTTTCCTATTTTTAAACAAATCACTCTTCTTCATTGATGAAGACATGGAAGGTTTGTATTCGTGCAAGAGGATGAATGTTTTTACCCAATGTTGAAGAATATATTGGTTCAATATCCATTTTTTAAAACTACTCTGCTTCATTCAATTTTAAAGTATAGTCGTGTCAAGGAAAAATAACAAAGATGTCTTCTTTGACAGGGCTTTTATTCTCAAATGACAAATGAAAGACCTTAAATAGAAATGGTAATGAAGCTTTACTATTTTTTTTTGATAATACAGAGCATCCTTTGTTGGTAGTTATTTCTATATGTGCTTTATCGAAAACAGAGGGTAAAGCTTAACTCATCATTCGTACTATTGCATCAGACAATCTTATCTAGTCGTTTTAAAAGAAAGCGTACATTCGATGTCCTACTTTTTCTAAAATAGCTCACAGCTCACGACTCTCAACAGGATAAACTTATCGAAACTTGACGAATATCATTGGTTAGTCTTTGTTGCAAATTTAATATGACTTTTTGTCTCCTGGAGTCCTGCTTTTCCCTCTGTAGTTGGTAGGACAAGCCTTGGAGTTCTCTCGCATGTAAACAATGTATATAGGTATGCTTGTTTTTTATAGACCTGAGCAAACAGTATTTTAAAATACATTAACTTGCAAAAGACAAGTTAAATAAAAAACACTGACCTGGCCAAAAATATATTTTAAATTACTTTGTTTTGAGAATACAAAGTATTTTCTTTTTCTAAAATACAATTTTTATAACGTAGTGTTTCAATTAATAATTACTTTTAAATTACTTCTCTTATTTATTTAATTTAGTAAGTATTTAAATTTCAAATACAAAATACTTTTTCTGAAAACAATTTAAATATTTGATGATTAATATTGTATTTTAGAAACACAAAATACTTTGTATTTGCAAAACAAAGTAATTTAAAATATATTTTTGGCCAGGTCAGTGTTTTTTATTTAACTTATCTTTTGCACTGAGAGAGAAGTGCAAGGATCTCCTGGAGTCATGCTTTTCCCTCCACAGTTGGAGGGACAAGTCTGGTTTGGAGTTCTCTCGCCAGATTATAAATATTGTATATAGGTATGTATGTGTTCTTTTTATTTATTTATTTTTACGCTATTTTATTCTTATTTATTGTATATATATTATTTTCCTGTATAATTTATTATTGAGTGTGGATATGATCTCTGAACAGTATTGTAAATGTGCTTGAGCCAGATTGTAATATTTTTCAATAAATACATTTTAAAAAAACTTATCTTAGAGTAATTTTATCTTAATTTGCTATACATATTTTTCTAATATTATTTAGATGTTATTTTTCTTATCCATTCTTCATCTTTTCTGTTTAAATAGCGTAAATGTAGTCTTACCTCGTTATAATTATTGTCTCAATGACAGAATATCATATTATTCGATAAAAAAAATAAAATATAAATCCTACTTATGGCTTACATGTAACTGTAATAATAATAACAACCGTTTGTCACTTAAAAGTCGTCCTGGGAA